CTTGTAGCTCGTTACACGATCAGCCGTCATCAGTTTCAGGATGCATTTTTGAAGGCCCTCCAAATTGTGATGTATACGATAGAAATGAGACGGTACAATCATTGATTTGTACAAGAAAATTTAGTCCATAAGTGTTCCTTGTATAATACGTTAATTCTAAGGTAACAAAAACTTTTATTCGCCCTTGTAAAATTTTAGTCAACATGATTGTTCCATTTTAGTGAAAAATTCGCTCAGAGTTTACAAAATGACGGAGAAAAGACAAAGTACCCATTGACGACTGACCGACGTCATTTACCTTAATTCTACCCGTTATCATTGTCTCGACCTAGCCAGTTGATTATCTGGTCTGTTTAGGGCTTACCATTATATAACCGTTTTTAGGGCATCAGCCAAACGACTTTTCATCAGCTTTTGTTTACCTTCAAAAATAACCTCATAGCTGGGTCTCGGATCTCCAGACATTGTGATTATTGCTAAAAGCACAGCTAGAATCCACAATTAGAAATATTTTTGTGATAATTACATATTAGATCAATTTGAGATGTATTGACCCTTTTATCGGCCCCGTACTACCCATGCCAAATACCCATGCTGAAATACCAAATCATTATCAAATGAGATCAAAAGCGTTCAGGACATTACAGCAGCTGAAAGGAGGTAAATGTTCGTTAAAAGAGTCTCTTGGCTCCAGGCCTCCAATTCCAGAAATAACGTCGTTATCTCTTAATTTTTGTTGCCCTGGAGGGTTCGGAGCTGTACCGGATATCCCACTGGACTTTCTGGTTCCGCTTCCTTACACAAGTAAGCTCCTTATCGTGTCTTCGTGTCACGATAGGAGGCTTAGTGTCGATTCTATTATATATCTTTTTGACTGTTATTCGCCTGGTGTGTCTCTGACACGTCGTATTCATCAAAATTGAAGTTTTTTGTACTTCTCAGAAATATTTCAGTCCCAATCCAAAAATTTAAAATTCTGGAATATTTTGAGTCTCTTTTTCATCTCAAATTTTTGATTAAGGCCTTTCAGGTCGTTCTCAGCGTGCAGTGGAACCACTACTGGAAGCTTAGGGAAAACGTAATTGGAGGAGCATCATGTCAACATATGATGAGTTTCCCTGCCATTGCTTGCTACAAATATGGTGGTACCCCGGGCGTAGTAATCTGGTGTTGGTCTGGGACTGTGGAGAGCTGCTCTCCATGGGTTTACCAGATTCATCACAGCCCATAACGATAGGGATAGTATGAGTTATGATGGCGATACGATGGCTGGAAGCTCATGTTAATAGAACAATAGACAGGAGGCGCGGACGAAAGAACAGTTACAGAAATTGGATTGTCTAAAAGATTTAAATCTTTTTGAGACAATGTGCAGAATCTTGAACATTCCGATGGAAGTAAAAAAGATATGGATCAGAAGACGACTGATGCCATGGTTTAGAGCCAACATGACTGCATGATTATACGAATATGCTAAGAAACATATGTCGAAGGACAGCAGAGTGTACAGTGCATATAAGCTGGACATTGGAGCAGGAGCTTTTAAGCGAGCTTTTGTAACTCATCGGAATACAGAAACCACCGCAGTGAAGAGAACTTCCAGGACAAGTGAATATGACGGAAGGGAAAAAGAAGAGATTTTGAAGGAAGACTTGAAGAGAAACGTGACGTTGTGCCTCCACAACAGCTTCTGCCGAAACAGAGAATCTAACGTTGATCCTCTACCTTGTTGTAAACAAAGAGTAGAAGAGCAGAAGTTTTGGAGGACTGCTTCCAACAGCGTCAGAATAGCTACCGACGTGTTGCAAGACACAGAGACTGAAAGTGCGGAGTCAATGTCGCAGGAGGAGGAGTATGTGACAAAAAACTCAAATGGGAAACATAGAAACTAAGTTTGCAATTGAAACTGAAAAGGAAACATTTAGTTGAGTTTTGAAGATTAAAGAATTTGTTGCATATATAAATTTGCATTATGATTTTAGTTAGTGGCTTTAGAGACACTTACTATTTATTTTGAGAGGCTTGAGTGAAGAATATATTAAATATTCCAGCCTGCATGATTGTTTTTAAACAACTAGAACGACTGATCACTCTGTGGTGACATGAAAGGCTTGGGTAATCTCTTGAAGAGGAAGATTATTTCATTGTTCTCTAACCACCGAATTTCTGAATTTTAATATTCAGGGCCCGTAACAACTAAATTTCTGAAGGAAAGAAGCATAATATGATAATTTTAGTTTGTGGGTTGGCAGGACTGTCCTGCGTTCCTACCTTTTTAAACTTAGGAGAAAAAGTTTTAAGTCGGGACAAAAACATTGGAAGTCTGAAAAGATGTTTTATCTTAAGTATATCCTCGAAAGTGCAGATTGGTGAAAGAATTTGGATGGCTATAGAAGTTAAGTATGATGCAATTTATATTCTGCAGTGAGTCGATATGACGTGGATAAAGGTGACTTTATGCATTTTGTAAATTCTGTTCGATGGCACTGTACCATTTCGATGAGGACTACAAGATTCAATGAGGACATTGATCGGGCTGTCCGGGGAGCATCTTTTTATTATTCGCATACACTGAAACGGCGAAACACAACAACAATAGTTGCTGTAAAAACAACTACGACAAAACGACAACAGATTGAAACTGTGATTGGAATTTGTCAGGAACCACTCCCAGTTCTAAAGATCGTGCCGCTACAATCGTTACAACGCGGAACCCGAGAAAGGGGAAGGGTGTTGGGACGGCGCGTTCAGCCTTCCGGAAAGAAATAGGAGTGCTATTTCCCCAGATTCCAGAATCCGGAGGGGCTCGGACCCAGAACTCAGCTTTTGGTCATGTCCTGAGTTGAACTTAATTAACATCCCGATTCATTTTGAGAGAATGAGAAGCAAGAATTGAGGGAAAGGGTTGATCCATCTTCGATGGAGATGATGATTTTTATCTACTGAGCAAAAACAATAGTAATATAATAAATAGTAGTAGCCCTGTTTTTAGAAGTGACCTCGTGGTCTGGGGATACTGAGACCCAGCCATGAACTCACTTTTTTTGCATATAATTAAGTTAATTTGAGCGTTCTGGTCGAAGCCAGAAAGCAGTAACGTTTTGTCGACCCGATGTTAGGATAACCACCAAAACAACTGGCTTTGGCAGAGACGGTGAAAAGTATGTAGAGCTGTGTTTAGACGCTAGCCAGTCGTTTTAGAACCTATCTTTATTTTCCGTCGATATGTACTTTCGGGCAAATGTTACCAAGTCATTAATTTCTTGTAGCTCGTTACACGATCAGCCGTCATCAGTTTCAGGATGCATTTTTGAAGGCCCTCCAAATTGTGATGTATACGATAGGAATGGGACGGTACAATCATTGATTTGTACAAGAAAATTTAGTCCATAAGTGTTCCTTGTATAATAGATTAATTCTAAGGTAACAAAAACTTTTATTCGCTCTTGTAAGTTTTTAGTCGACATGATTGTTCCATTTCAGTGAAAGATTCGCCCAGAATTTACACAATGACGGAGAGAAGACGAAGTACCCATTGACGACTGACCGACGTCATTTACCTTAATTCTACCCGTTATCATTGTCTCGACCTAGCCAGTTGATTATCTGGTCTGTTTAGGGCTTACCATTATATAACCGTTTTTAGGGCATCAGCCAAACGACTTTTCATCAGCTTTCATTTACCTTCTTAAATAACCTCATAGCTGGGTCTCGGATCTCCAGACATTGTGATTATTGCTAAAAGAACAGATAGAATCCACAATTAGAAATATTTTTGTGATAATTACATATTAGATCAATTTGAGATGGATTGACCCTTTTATCGACCCCGTACTACCCATGCTCTGAAATACCAAATCATTATCAAATGAAATCAAAAGCGTTCAGGGCATTACAGCAGCTGAAAGGAGGTAAATGTTCGTTAAAAGTGTCTCTTGGCTCCAGGCTTCCAATTCCAGAAATAACATCGATATCTCTTAATTTCTGTTGCCCTGGAGGGTTCGGAGCTGTACCGGATATCCCACTGGACTTTCTGGTTCCGTTTCCCTACACAAGTAAGCTCCTTATCGTGTCTTCGTGTCACGATAGGAGGCTTAGTGTCGATTCTATTATATATCTTTTTGACTGTTATTCGCCTGGTGTGTCTCTGACTCGTCGTATTCATCAAAATTGAAGTTTTTTGTACTTCTCAGAAATATTCCAGTCCCAGTCCAAAAATTTAAAATTCTGTAATATTTTGAGTCTCTTTTTCATCTCAAATTTTTGATTAAGGCCTTTCATGTCGTTCTCAGCGTGCACTGGGAGGTTCGACTGTGCCATCCGGGGAATGGCAAGGCTTTTGCTGGAAAGAGTCAAGACTTGCTTACTAATACGCCCGGATGTTTAACCGAGTCTTCAATTTCCAAGTCTTCTGAATTCAAATAGAAATTATTTGCCGCTCACTGAAAAACCACCACTGAATTTTTCCATATGCACACTCCACAGTGTAGCTCGGTAGTTTCTTCCGAAAATTGGTTCTTCGGGTTCAATGTGATTTCGGCTGATAATTCGGCGTCAATGTGATTCCCATCCCATGTTTCGTCGTCAATGTATTTCGGCGTTCGGAGTATTTCGCCGTCAATGTGATTCCAAACCATCTTGATTTTCTTTACTATGGCTTCACGTTATTCTTTCTTCTACAGCTGGCTTCACGTTATTCTTTCTTCTACACCTCCCTTATTTATGAAATTCCAAGTTTTTTTGAAATGGTGAAGGACGGTGGCAGTACCGTTAGGGCTTTTTACCCCCCCCCCCCCACCTCACACGAGCATCAATTTTATGGCCTAATTAGTCTGCATGTCAATTTTCATAGCAATCGGACAATGTTATTTTTTTATAATAACAATTTGCAGGTGGGGGAAAAGGAAAAAAAGCCAACTTTGGTTACCATGATAATTGTTGGCCCTCCCGTTAAGAAAAAACAAGAAAGAAATATTTTTGCAACTGCTTTTTTATTTCAGATCAATTTGTGGTGAGGTGCGTGGACTGACCATAAACACAAGAAAAACTTCAAAACGAGCTGCTCGATGGCTTTGAAACGAATAAAGAAGGTAAGGGTAAAGGAATTATATATGCATTTTTTCAAATACGTTGTACTTCTTAATTATATTACCTGTATTTATGATACAACAATGTACTAGATGTTCAGATGGGGATGTCAATAAATTTTTTTGAACGCGTTTGTTTCAGGAATACGAAGACATCGGCCGAGACCCTCCTGCACAGTGTTCAGCTGGGCCAGTTGGCGATGACTTGTTTCATTGGCAAGCAACTATAATGGGGCCACCAGAAAGCCCCTTCCAAGGAGGAGTCTTCTTTCTCAGCATCCATTTCCCCACAGACTACCCATTCAAGCCACCGAAGGTTGTGGGTCTGCACATCATCTTATTAGGATCTTTCGTGTTGTGATCACCTATTTCCTTCTTTTATTACGCTTGCGATTAGCACGCGTTATCTAACCGGAATATAGCCTTTTTTTGGGTTAACAGCTAGTTTATCAGAATCACTTGAATCATTTTACCTTAGGTTTATTTGTAATCAAAAGTCAGACGTTCATTCGCGTATGAGGCGAAGAGCTAAAGCACCGGCCTGTAAAGATAAAGGTTAAAGGTTTGAATCTGGCCAGGGCTTGTTTTTTTTTGTAAGCGGAAAATTGTCGAACTTCTGTTTGTCTCCTTTTTATCGGCTTAGTTTTCGCAGCAACAAATCTACCTAGATTTCGGGCGTTTTTACTCAAATAAAAAATATTTCAGTGTATTCTGGTTATGGGCAAATAATTTGAGTTTCAAAAAATGTTGACCATTTTTTGCTATTTTTTTGATTTCTTTTTCGTATTGCTCATTAAAAAATTTTGGAAGTTGTTTTCTTTATAAATTCAAGGAATGTTCTATACATTTGGTGCACTGGTAACATTGATGCTGAAGACGACAAATACCAGAAATTTGATTCCAGTCGGGGCCAGTTTTTTGTGGAAACTGAAAATTTTTGATTATATTAGACTTTCGTGTCTGCTAATTTTTGTCGGCTCAATTACCGACGAAAGCTTCGGTTTTTTTCTAGCATTTGAAAGCTCTTGCTTAAGTTTTTTTATGGTGCAGCTAATTTTGTTTCAAGGTTTTTTGTCCTTTTTGCACTTTTTACAATTTTTCAACGAAAAAGCGATTTTTTCTTCAGTTTTTGATTTGTCTTTTGCAAGAGCAAGTGTACTGGCAATCGAGAACTAGGCTTTTCTGTTTTCTCCATTAAACAACTTTTTTTTAAAAGAAGTCTAAGAAATTGACTTGGCTTCGCTAGGAAACCTCAGCAAGTTCCAGGCCCTTTCCCAGTTGTTCTGCTAGTACAGCGCGTTCCATGGGATCCTAAAGTCGGCGACTATCGAACACCGAAAGGGACTAGGTCACGAAACTTGTGAATGACCTCTAGTTTCAAAAAAACTTCAATTTTCTCAGCACCAAGCAAATAAAAAACCTATCGACCCAGTTTTCTCTAAATGGGATAACTCAACAAAAAAGCGCTTATCATTAACAGCGTTTGAAATTTAAAGAGATTAAAGATTTTTCTTCGGAATTCGAAAACTTTTATATCATTTTTTGTTCACGATTTGTTGCTTAACACTTATCCAACCATCTGCTGACTATACTTTACTTTTTTTTACGCGCAAAATTAGGTGCCAAAAATATTCATTAGAATGGGCCGAGTGATGTATCCTTTTAATTTTTCGAAAATTTTACTCAGTGTTGAGAAAAACTGGTTTGAATTTTTTTTAGTCCTATTTCGAGGTAGTAACATTAGTTAGATAAAACTCAGATGTTTATGTCATAAAAAACTTAGTTTTACTCCCGTTTTTGGAGATTCCTGGTCAGTAAAAACGTTTCAACCAGAAATTTTTTTTTCGAGTTTTCAATCAATTTTTTTTAGTTATACAGGACAACTAGTCTCTTTTAACGACAACTAGTCAATTGTGATGAGTTTACTATATTTACTTATTCCCCCTATGTTGCTTAGTTTGAAGGAGAAATGAGATTTGAATGATTGAGTATAATTATGGAGGGTTGTAGCGAGTATTAAAACTGAAAGGCTCAAAAGTGTTTTACATAATTTTTTCCGGCTCAATGGGCGTTTACCCAAGTTTTGCCAGTTGAGTCCTTTCATCTCATTTTGTATCCGCTAGCTTGCAAGGCTTTGTTTGTTTGTTTTGCGTCGATCCGCTTTGCGTCTGTGTATAAAACATGCGGTTATTATTTGGTACGGCCACCTGCGAATTGAGTGCGTAGGGCACCTAAAATCGTGGGGGTGTTTTTTCGGAGCAATTAAGCAATCCCCCCACCCCCATTCTCGCTTTGGGGGGATAAAGCACATTAGGTTCTTGAGACATGTTTAAAATCACATGAAAATAGTTTGAATGATATGAAATCATGAAACAGGTTCTCCAACGAATGAGGAACGCCAAAGCTTACAATATCAAAGCTCAAAAATTACAATCAGAATGAAAAACAATCAATAAAACTGAGGCATATAAAGCGACTTTTTTCTGTCCTCAAAGGATGAAAAATGTATTGCATACAATATTAAGGTGCTGCGGAGAGCAGTGTTTGATATTCAGATACAAGGCTAGAGCATCAACCTAGGTAAGTCGCTTTCCTGATGAAGCAATAGTCGTCCAAACAAAAATTTGCAAAAAAAATTTTTTTTTTTACAAAATTCGGTGTTTTCCAAAATTTTTCTGGATACTCATAGAAAATAAATTGATTGCTCAATTGATCCGTTTTTTTTCTGCATGTCGAAATACTTATTTCTTACATGGAAACGTTTGACATACACGTGGAAGATGCATGGTGGAATTGAAATCGAAATTGATATTTAGAAGAATAGCGTTAAAAAACTGCATCTTGGGAGAAATTTATTCTTTTTCTTGAAAATATCTGAGAATAACATAATTGCCCTCTAGTAATACTAGCAGTAGGTGCGGCTTCGATGAAACGTCCCTCTGACTTTTGTCTCTCCCTGTGTTCAAACTTTGCGAGTTTCCAGCGAGAAGTTTGCTTTGTTCTCAGATGCTCGATAAACGCTAAGTGCAAGTCACCATAAACGCCAAGTCCAAGTCATCACTTCATCGTAGTGGTTGTTTTCATGTCAATAGTTTTTTTGATCCACTTGATCAAGTTTTATAGGTCAGTAGCACAGTTCGTAAGGCTGGAGAGAGCTGCTGAGCAAAATCAAAAAAAAATTAATCGCTCTCGGCAAGTCTATGAGAATGAAATCTCTGTTTCCTTATCGTTTTCGTCGCAGCAGAAGATCGTGGAATTATAATCGAAGTAAAGTTTTGCACTTGTTCAGCGTTAGCAGATGGGTCATTGGATGAGGTCATTGGTTTTCGTTTGTTATTTAAGGAAACCTGCTTATGCACTGTTACTGCATATCCAACCTAACAGTTCAATTTCCTGTTAATACGCTTGCGATTAGCAAGCGTTATCAAATCTGAATATATATATATTTTTTCGTGTTAACAACTACTTTAACAAAATCAATTGGCTTGTCTTTTCTGATGGAATGCCCGAAAGCAGGTTTTTTGAGCATGTCTGCATTTTAAATAGCCGTTTCATTCAAATTTTTGTTTTTGCTTTCTTTTTTTTTGTTGATTGTTTTCGTTTTTTTTCTCTTGTGTTTTCTTCGGCTAAAATGGTTTCGGCTGATAATATATCTGTTTATTTGCCTCATAATTAGTCCTTGAAGGGCCAAAGCAGTTTTATTGCTTTCTTGTTTTTGAAAAGGGTGTGAGAAATGGGAGTTCAAAATTTATTATAGCTCAAAAATTTGTGCAACAATCTTTTTCGGGTCATTTGTTGTCTACCCAAGTGTTGTCTGCTCAGTTACCGTTTGATGAATGTTGTTTTCAATACTTAATTCTTGCTGGCGATTGTTTTCTCAGAATTTTTCTTCAAAATCTTTCTTTACGAGGCCTTTAGCATAGTGGTAAAGCGTTCACTTTGTTTGTTATTTGTTTTTTTTTCATCTCTGCTTTCTGCTTCTATGGATGGTAGCCATTCGAATATCATTTACTTTGTAGATCTTGAACCATTTTCAGGAAATGTCCAATAAATTGTTGGCCGCGCTCCTCGATTTTTCATTCAATCGATTTTTTTGCATGATTCATCAGTTTTTGCATGATAATGCCTGACTTCTAATACTATTGTCTGCGAATACTCGCTTTTTATGACTCTGGTTTTTATCCAATCTGGTCATGGTCTCACTGCAGCAACTATCAGAACTCAACTCTCCATGCAAGTTTTCAGTACCATTACCTGCTGCTTTTAGGCACGACTGTTTATGCAGAGGGGCCAGGTCAGCTCTTTTATGACTTTTTTCGTCTCGGCAGCTATTCATCCAGCAGTTCAACATTTTTATTGCGTATGACGATTCATCGCCAAAAATAGTGGAGTCATCAGTACCGCAAATGTTGCGTCGGCTGCGAAAATTGAAATAGAGGTCTGGAGGAATTGACGCCATTTGTTCTCGTTGTACTTTGCTGTTTATTCATTATTTGGCAGAATAACTGGTATGTTGTATTTGATTCCATTTGGTTACTTATGTGGTTGTTCGGGGTACTTTTTCAATCATGACGAGTTGATTGGATGCTAAGGATTTAATCGGGGTCCATGATGTGGAGTGTGAAATGTTTTACTGCTTTGTTTCTTGAATTAACTTTCTTAGAAAACCGCTACGTGGATTTTGTGTTTCGCTAAAAAAAAGGTAACAATTTGTGGAGGTTTCCGGATAATTCGTTTTAATAAGGATCCAAATGACGCCTTTTTCCCTTGTTGAATCCAAATTTTGGCTTGTCAAGACACCCCTCGCATGAGTCGGGAATGGCATAGATGGTTCCAGATTCTCATCTACTAAGCGTTTGAAGCCGAGCTGGCTGCTCCGTGCGCTTGTTCTTTTACTGATTCTTCGTGGCGGCTTTAATCTTTACCCTGGTCTCTACAAAGTCTCACCCCGAAATCAAGTTAAACGTATCGAAGCAAGTTTCGGTACTAGCAATTGTCTAATTATTTTCTGATTCTTCTGCACCAGCTTTCAACGCCCAGTTTACCTCCCATCCCCGAACCAAAGCCTCTTCTACCTCAACTAACTCTTCTCTGTCGCAGAACCCTCCCAGTAACCAACACCAATTCCCGAGCCTTGTGCAAATTCATCCCTCCCGTAAACAACTCCCAGAATCATACCTTATTAAGTCACTCTTGATCATAAGCCTGTTTAAATGTCTTGAAGAGGAGTTCAAACATTGGAGTTGGTCTTCTTAGCATTCGGAAGAGCTCTTTGAAATTAATCGTTGTTTGCTCTTTTCAACTCTACTAGCGCAGTTTCGCGGAGGATGAGACCACTTTTAATTCAATGGATCACTGCTGTGTTTTCTCCTCACCCCCCCCCCCCCCCCGCTCCCATCCATATACGTCCTCCCTCTCGCTTATGACCAGTGTTAGTTTCCATGCGCGGTTGGGTATCAACGTTTAGGTTTGTTTCGACCGCGCTCTGTTCTATTGACTTGCAAGCTGCATGGAGACAGTTTCCACAGTAAAGGCTCTGTTTTCTCTTTCGTTTCTGGCTTCCTTTGCTGTTTTTTCCCTTCTCATTCCTCTCGAGGGTTTGCTTTTTCATCCCCCAACGTGTGTATCCATGGCTGAATGTATCCAGCTGTTTGGCCACCAAAGTCGAGCAATGCTTTTCGTCTGATAGCTCAAATCCGAGAGTGTCCTCGCTGTTGTAAATTTAAAAAGCAATCATGTGCTGGCAAGCAATCATGTGTATCGGTATCAGCATCATCCTACATTTTCAGAAGAGTGATTATCAAAGAACATCTGTCTGAAACTGCTTTTAAGTTTCAGATGGTTTTCTTTACAAATCGCAATTTTTATTCTGATAGTTGTAAAAGTCTACAATAGGGCTCCTCGGGGTAGCACGATCTTCTTGTTGTGCAGTTTGCAGCGTTTATACTCAGTTTCATAAATCAGAAAGTTCTTATGGATTATAGTCCCGAAGTCAAAATTTTACTTGGTTCTTTCTTCCTATTGGTGTTTTTCTTCTATCCGGTTTTGGGTTTGTTGTCTTAGTATTGTTTCTTGCATTCTTTTTGCACAGTTGACCAAATTGTTATGAGTCCGCTTTTTTTGCGAAGATCATCAAAAGAATAGTTTTTATAAATTTTGAAGATATCATCAATACAGCTAATTAATCCAAATCCAAACAATGATAGCTGGTTACTGCAAGTAACACAGAATGTTGTTCCGACCATAGTTTTTTAAAAAAGTACAAAAGAAATTAGTGATGTTTTTGCTGCGTGGTGTGATAGAAGGATCTGACGTAAAACTTTAATTCAAGCATATTCGACAGTCATAGTAACAAAGGCATGAAAACAGAAAATTAAAAGAAAATATAAAAAAATTTCGAATGTTTTCAAAATTTTTTGCCGAAAATTTTAGTGAAATTTTTGGTTCCCAAAATGTCGCTAAAAACTCCTTAAAAATTTCGCGTTTTTGGTTCACAAAATGTCGCGTTTTTAGGCTTAAATCAAGCATAAATAAGTTCTTGTCAGCTCGCTTTATTCGCTCGAAATTGAAATAAAAATCAAGTTTTAAACTAGTTTTTCTCGATACTGAGACAATTTTTTGCAAACTTTTAATGCCATTTTAATCACGACTGAAAGGGCTTCAATTTGATATAGCACTCGACTCATTCCGATGATTATTTATGCTACTTGATTTTGCGTGGAAAACAAAAAATAAACACTAGGATAGCCGGCTGCTGTGCAAGTAGCACAGAAAGTCCCGACCACATTCGTAAAGAACAACAGAAAAAAACCTCCGAAAACCTCCACAAATTGTTACCTTTTTTCTGCGTGGTGTGATTATAGAGCTGTACAAACGTGTAGAAAGTTATTGAGTAAGGCAAAAGTTACTACAATTGTCTACAAAAAATAAATAAACGAAAAAATGAAAAACAAAAGTCAAACAAGACTGCTCGGATCAGGGCGAAGCCCTGAATGTTCCGACTGCCTTTTAAGGTTTATGGAGCAGTAATAACTTTAAAAAAATAATTGAAATGAAAAAAAATGAAATTTTTTTTTTAAATTTGAAATTTTTTATGAAAATCACCCCCCCACACGCCATATAAAAAACAAAAGGATAGATTTCGTTCCTTGAAACAAACCAATTATGGCAAATAAGCTTCTTTCAACCAATTTGGAACGATTTCTAAGACTGATTAAATCTCTGCTTACGCGTTAATAGCTCGAATTATATCGCGCGTTAATTGTCCCGAATTGGTCAAAATGGCAACCTTTAAACCCTCATAACTTTACGAAAAATGATCACAGGTGAAATATCTTTTCAAATTTAAGCTCAGGACAAAAATACCTTTTGAATGATATTAAAAAAATTTTGTCAAAAATGGCTAGTTAAAAAGTCGAAATTTGTCTGAAGAAAAAAAACCCACCCGAGCACAAATATTCCGTTACTTTCGATAAGTTTGTATGAAAGTTTTTATGGGTAACAAAGCGCTTAATGAAGCTTCCAAAGTTCGTAAAATCAAGTTTTTTTTCCGTAAAACCAAGTTTTTTTTAGCCTAAATGGCCAATGCTTATATATCACGAACGTTACTCGATGGCTTTACTTGCTCGAATTTGGGCTAAAACTCGAAACTTTTGAAACGGTTTTTCTCAACACTGGGAAAACGAATCACGACTAAAAGGGCTTTAGTGTGATATATCACTCGACCCATTCCGATGATTTTTTGTGGTACCTGTTTTTGCATGGAAGAAAAAGAAAAAAAACACCAGAAAACAAAGTTTCTCCACGTTTTTCAAATGCCTGAACAAAAAAAACTAAAACACACCCGAATGAAGAGATCCTCGACATTCTTCAAAGGCTCGGAACAACAATCAGTCCAAGTTGAATGGCAGCAAGTTACTTGGTCACAGTGATTCCCTTCATATTTTTCAGTATTTTAACTGCAGGCTATACTTCATGACATACTTCTGCAGTTTGGCGACCTTATTTTTCGCATGTGTTTTCGAACTGCAGTTTTCACTCTTTATTTCAACGAGAGAATATGACAAATTTTTACATTTTCTTTTTTTTGTCAAAATATTCTTTCAAATTGCATATTAGTTGATTTTCTCCAATCTTCTGATGTGGCTAAATATTTTATGTGAAGCTTATATCGGATTGTTGCCTCTTTTCGTAACCAGTTTGCTGCCTTTTTTCTCAAATGGTTGGGGGATGAAATTCAAAAGGGATACCTTGAAATATTAATTTACAACGATAAATACGTGGTTTTATGTCAAAATTATTTAAAGAGTTTTTGTTTCGACCATTGAAAGTGGGAAGGAAATTTATATTCATGTTTTAGTTTTGTTCTTTTTTTGCAAAAATTCAGGTAACACGAATAGTTATCGGACAGGATTGAGTGATATATCATATTAAAGCCCTTTCAGTCGTGATTCGAACGACAAAGAAAAATTTCTTTCAAAATTTTCTAATGTCGCCATCTTGGGAATAAAAAACTTCAGAAGTTCATATTTTCTTTTTAAAAAGTTGAAAAACAACTATCAATATTGGAAATGCCTAAAATCTAGTCCTTCGTTCAAATCCTTTCAGCTCACCACGCACAAAATAAATTGAAATTACTTTTTAAAAAACTGTTTTTTTTAAGAATATGGCCAGAACATCTGTGCTACGTGCTACGAAGCGTTTAGCGGATGATTTCGCTATAGGTTCTATGTCAATTGACTCATGTCCAACCGGCTGGTCATGTTTAAAATGATTTTAAAAATTTCAAAGATTTATCCGAGATGTTCTCCAGTTGCTCTCCTCCTGTAAATAACAATAGAATCAACTAACACTTGGTATGACCTGTAACTAAATTTGTTTCAGATCGCGTTCACAACCAAAATTTACCACCCGAATATAAACAGTAATGGAAGTATATGTCTCGACATTTTACGAAGTCAGTGGTCGCCGGCGCTCACTATATCAAAAGGTGAATACTGATTACTCAGACTGATTACTCTGAATAGTTAATGTAGCCATCGATAGTTTTATTTAAAGTTATTACAGACATTTCTTAATCTGATACCAATATAATGATGTAGCAGAAGCTCTTAATGCAATGAGTATTTGAGACTTGAAATTAAATTCTAATTTTAGTATGCAAGTATTGCGAGTAATACAAGTGTTGCGTGTTTAGTTCTACTGTCGATATGCTCGCTGCTATGTGACCCTAACCCGGACGACCCGCTGGTGCCAGAAATAGCCAGAATGTACAAAACAGACAGGCAGAAGTACAATAAAGTGGCCAACGACTGGACTCGTAAATATGCCATGTGACACTAGCTGAGGTCGTCAGCTCACCAGGCATTGTATTGTATTACGCACGATCATCATCGATTAAAGAGGCAAACATTGGAATAAGAACTCAGTTGAAACTTTTGTGTCAATATCCAAGTTGAATTTAACTTCCATCATCTATTAATGTAAACAAGTGGCTTGCAAAAATGGAACATGCTTCGAAGCTCATTTTGAACCGAATTGAATTTCTCTTTTTAATCGCTCAAAGAAGGTACATAATCTGCGCTATTATTGATCTACTATTGAAAGTTTAATTTGGTTGGCGTGTTTTGAAACACCAGCGTTGAGATTATAACAACTATGGCATTGTGCAGTTAAGACGAGAACTGTCTTTAAAATATCTCTCTCAAATTAATGTTCTCGTCTTTTATTTATGTGCTTGATACTATTTAATTTTATAGAGGAGAAACAATTAGAAAGCAGTAAATTGTTAATTTTGTCTTTTCGCGGAACCGAGGATTTCGTCTTCTCGCTGAAATATAATATTCGACTCAACTTGGGATAATTGACAACGAAGATCCTCGGTAGCGGGTGATTAATTTGGGGTTTATTTTGATTGTTATGAAACGCCAAAATGCTACAACGTTAATAATGCCCTTTGTTTTGCCTAATTTGTCTAGTTTCTTACTCAACTGCTATCCAATTCAAATTCTGATGACACCGTTTTTTAAGTCAATGAATGTAGTAAAGACACTCATGGCCATCGTGTTGATTTTTTTCAGGAACATGTTTTGAATTAAGTTCAGACTCAAATATGATTTTCTGAGGTTTGGTTTTTGATTTTTTTTTGTTTTTTACTTGCGAGAGCAAGTGACTTGTAATCGGGATTTATACTTTTTTACCGTAAACTTTCTGCCGAAATGCTCAAGTCCGACATGCTCAAAGTTTGACATTCTCAATTTCTTGAAAATTCAAATAAAACTATTATAAATATAATATTGATAAAATGTTGAATTTCGGATTTTCCATTTCTGTCGGCTGATTTTCCATTTTCTTTTCAAATACAATATATTTTATTTGGTAAGCTTTTTAAGAGTACTCTTATATAGGTCTTGTTGATTTTTTTTTGTTCCGGAAAAAATTGTTCGCCCTCTGAGACAAATGATCAGAATTTTTGGCCCCTCTGATACACTTCTGAGACACCTGATTGGAACTTTCGACGCTTCTGAGACACCTGGTCGGAACTTTCGACGACTCTGACATACTTTTGAGACACCTCATCGAATTTTTCGACCCCTCTTAGACAGCCTGAAATTATTTCTATAGCACCTGCTCGGATCTTTCGACGCCTTTTTAGTCAAAAACTGTGACTAAACAGGTCAAAATTGGCCAAACAATTTGCTAAAAGGCCAAGCGGTGTCCAAAATTGTCGAAAATGGACAAGTGCTGCGGTCGAAATTGGTCAAACTGCTCAAAAATGGGTCGAAGTTGACCAAACTGGTCAAAATTGGGTCTAAATTGGCCAAACTGGTCGAAGTTGGCCTAAGTGCGGTCGCGATACCGACGGCAGAATCGTACAATCTCGTTTCAAAACTTTAGTCGGCAGTGAAGTTTGATACACAAATTTGGTTTCTCATTCTGACGGAATTGATATAAATCAAACGACCAGGAAACTCTCATGATTATCTATAATTGAGCATAATAATCACAAATGTAAAGATTTTGACTTCAATCAACCTAAAGTAGTCGACGCTACCGGCCAACAAATAGCCGAAACTACCGGCCAACAAGTAGCCGACGCTACCGAAAACTGTCAATGGGGTGATGAACCACCCATGTCCCAATTTTTTACTAAAAAAAAAATCTATGAGCAACTGCAGTGGTGGATTTGAAAACCAGCTCCGGATTGTGCCACTTAATTTTTTACAGTAGCTTAGACCATAGGCTAGCTTGCCATGAAAGGAAGTAGAATAAGTTCAAATTTATTCTCGCTTATATACGTTATTTGTTTTCAGCGTTAATAATCTTGTAATGCTATATTTAAATTGTATCGCTAGTCAAATTTTATTTCAAGGGCGAATTGTTTTTAATGCTTTAGCTTTTTTCAAAGGATGGGTCTTAAATGTTTTTTAAAAATTTCAGAGGTTGAATAATTTTTCTTTCTTCACTTTCGTTTTTGGCCTAACGAGCGTCGACCCAACTTTTTCTGCTTTAGTTGTCGCTCGATCATTCATTCTCAATACTTGTTAAGGTTGTTTATGAATTTTTCCGAAAACAAAGTATATATTTTTTGAAGCTAGTTTTTTCTTATCTTTTTCGATAATCTTTTTTAGCTCATTTTTGAAAAATGGTTTCCTTTTCTTTTCAATATTTTATACAGCAGCTAGTTAATTGTATCGCAAGGTTGCGAAGCTAGGCTACGCCTCTGTGTTGAAATTAGCGATTGTTTTTTCGTACGTCTAGTTCTGTAATTTGTTACCTGGTTCGAAAAATTGTTATACTTCTTCAGCGTCATGCTTGGTCGAGCCTTTTCTATTTGTGCAGGAAAATGAAGTGCAAGAATTTTGCAACATTTTTTTTTTGATATTTTGTCAAATTTTTTTAGACATTCCAATTAATTGTCAGACAGTCAAGGTTTAGAAATCAGTCGGTTTGACTTTCGCATGCTTTGAAAACTTTAGCATTTTAGCTTCGTTTTTGGCCGTTCAAAATTTTAACTTGAAATTGAAGAAATTCAAAATTCTAGTCCTTCAGACTTTTTGTGAGTTCTTTAAAGCAAGTAAAATCGGCAACGATTTTTTTACAAAGTTTATTGTGAACGCATATTTGAAAAATGAATAAAAAAGTTAATAAAGGTTAAACAACTTCTACTCATTGCATCAATGATAGCGTATGGAAGCGAAATTGACTACACTTTTGCTTTGGACTTAAGCTTTTGTCAGAAAAAAAGTTGATTGTTGTGCTTGGTTTTCAAGTGGAAAATTGATAGTAAAAACATCCTTCCATGAAAAATTGTTTAACGCAAAGTCCATAAAAAATTGTCGTGGACTTTTTAAATAGAAATCTATCTATTAGATAAGATCAAGATTATGCTGGCTTACAATTTACGTTTTTTTCCCGCAAAATCAGTTCATCGGTGTTCTTCGTTCTTTCATTTTGAAAAAAATCAAATGGGTTTCATAAGTTAATACATATCAAAAAGATAAAGACGGACACCATGAACTAGAAACATACATACTCAGTGTAAAAAATTCGCTAAGTAATTGACTCGAAAAAATTTTTCCGCTGCGATCGTTTGGACTTAGCAACCGAAATATCACATGGATTGACAACGAAATCAAAAACGCAGCAACAAGAAAAGAACAATTTCGTCAAAAAATTTTATCATCGAAAGGGATAAATTAGCCTATAAAAAATGCCAACTGTGGTTAAAATATTGGTTTTGAGGAAAAAACGGGATTTTTTAAATCAACATAAAGTTATTACAGTCATCTAAACAGAGTCGAAGTTTTTTCAAAAAGCTCAGGAAAGTGAGAGCAGATGTAAAATCTGCGCACATCGAAGTTTTACAAGAAAATGCACATAGGTTTTACAATTTATCTTGCATGAATTGGCAGTAAGTTAGCAAAATTGATTCCTGATACCCTTAAGTCATCGTCACCACAAAAGCGCCCGTCCATGCTCTTCCGAAAAATTGAACGCAAAAAAATTGTAAAAGCCAAATAACAATCCTAGAACAAATACAGCATTGTTTCCTTCAATTGGAACTACGTTTTCATAAATGACTTCATTGTGGTCCCATTGGAGCTAATTTCCAACGAATATTTTTGCCTGGTAATTTTTCATAAAGCTCAAATATAGCCAAAATAATGCCAATCTATAAAACCGGAGATAAAGAAAACCCGGAAAGTTTTTGGCCAAGTACACTTCATCCAATAATAGGATCAATCTTTGAAAGGTTATAAAATAATCATATGAAAACTTTCCAAAAAATTTTTATCTTTAACAACTCCTTAACAAAGTATCAATTGTAGACGCAATTGTTACCCTAAATGAAGGCAAAGAAAGACATACGCAACCAAGACACAATAACCCAACGCACTTTTCTCGACTTAAAGGAAACCTTTGATACAGTAGATTGCGCAATACTTTTGATCAAACTTCAGTGTTTTGGTTTTAAAGGGTCATTTCATCAAATTCTTAAGTCGTACCTTGAAGATCGCAAACAGTATATTGAAATTTTGGGATAAAAAAAAAACAGAATAAAATTTTGTACAAAGTGGGGTGCCAAAGGGTTCAATTCTGGTACACTTTTGCTATTTATTATTTACGTCAATGATCTATCGGTCTTTGAACAATCCAACAACAGACTTGCTCTTTATGCAGATGACTCAAAGCTAAAAACAAGCAGCGAAAAAGGTCAGCAATCCAAAATTCTTCAGCATCAGAGAATCTTAGCAAATGCATGACCATAGGAGATTTAACTAACTTTAAACATCAAAAAGACAAAAACAGGATTCTTATGGATTCGAATCTAAATTTTAATCAGCACATCGAAAAATCAAAAATCCGTTGTTTCAGTTTTGTGGACTCTTTCATCAAATATGCAAATACCTTACCTCATAACAAATGATTATTGCGTATAAAGCTCATACTCAACCAGTTCTGTAATATGAAATTATTGCACTGGCTACTACTGAAATCTCATCAATCACTATTGTTGAAATAAAAATTAAACGTGTTATCAAATTCTACAAACGCAAAAATGAGTCAGTTCGTAAAAAAAAAGCAAAAAATCTGTTTTTTTTTACCAACAGTAATTTTTGCACACAAGAGCTTAAAGTTTTCGACCAAAGTTCTGAGAATGGAGGTTGAAATAGACAAACTTAGGGACTCTATTATTGATAATGATAAAACTCGATTACAAAAAAGCGAAACGTAGCAAGAATTAACCATTAAATCAGATCTGTCGCCAAAAAGTTCATTGCATCAAAAAAACAATCAACATGTTCATCTCTTTTTGTTTTCAAAGAGCGAACAATTTAACCATTTCAATCATAATTTCCTGGAATATTCATTGCAAGATAACAGAGAAGTTTGGAGTTTTTTAGTAACGGGGGGTCATTAATATTTAAGAGAAAATGAATTTTTTGCTTCTTTTTCTATTTTTAGATCTCGACTTTTATCTATGCTATAGAAAAATAAAGAGAGAAACTGCAAGTGCAAAAATTTTATCTTTTTTTTTATTTGAGGCGCTCGAAAACAGGCTCTTGTAACCTAGTGGCGTCCTCCCAATCTATAAAATTAAAAACGATTATACAAGAACCCTATGGTTGTAATGGTAACATTGGGTTGGAACTAATTTAATATTTTTAATAGAACATTTGTTTTCGTTTGATTTGCGTTGAAGCACTTTTTGCTCAGAATGATGATTTTAAATCCAAATTTATTGATCATTCTGAAGATTAAAAAAATGGCTTGGCACGATGAAGGCCGAGTGTTGGATTCCAATCAGGACTTGTTTTTTTAAGCTGAAAATTTTCTGCTATTTTCGACTGTCATCTGTCTGCTGATTTTTGGCGGCTTAGATCGGACAACGGATTTTTTGAGAAATTCGGCTTGTCTAAGCATCCTTTTTTCGAATTACTTAAAGAGTTTTTGAAGGATTTGTTGACAATTTTACACACAATCGTAGTTTTCCATTTTGTATCGCTTCGG